ATGAATATCCGTTCGGCCCCCGCATTCTGACTGACACCGCTACACCTCGGACCTCTCAGGCCAAGGCTGCGCTCGCTCTGACGAAGATTCCAAAACGAATCCCGCCGTGGCGACGAGGACCCCAAAAGATGGCCGCAAAGAAGAATCCATGTTCCTCTCCATGACATATCGATCGTGGGGGCAATCCGGAAAAGCGCCCCTCCCCCCCCCCCCCTCCCCCCCCAAGAACAGCAACAAACAAACAAACAAACTCTGGGCCTCTGGACGTCCTGGACGCCCAACCGCGGGTTTGTGAGCCTCCTGGACGTCGGCGGCAGGCCTCGCAAACAGAACCAACCTAAGTAGTTGGAAGGGCACCCGATAGGTCTCATGAGAGCCCCAAGTGGCTTCATAACCCCCCACTCATGCGCACGAAGACAGCAGACAGAAGACCTCCAAGAGGCCATGCAAACGCGAATCAAAACTACTCGTTGGAGGAAACCGCGGTTGGCAGCAAGATAGCTAGAAAGAGTAAGGGGACGGAGGGATACGAAGGAAGGGATACCCATAGTATAGCTTGAGTCCAGCATCTCCGAACGGTATTCGCTTGAGCCAAGGTGGCTCCTCAGAGTGTTCGCGCGTCCTCCTGCTCCTGATCCGCCTGCGCCTTCGGCATCGTCGTCGTCGTCGAGCTGTTCGTCATCGTCGTCGTCGTCCTATTCCTCGGCATCCACGTCATGCTCCATCTCGCCCTCGGCCCCATCCCTAGCACTACACCTCCTCCTCATCATCATCCCACTCCTCTATTCCTCCAGCTCCTCCTCCTCCTCCTCCTCCACCTCCTCCTCCTACTCCAAGACCTCCTCCTTATCCTGGCCTCCTGGTCCTTCCTCTCCTTCTCCTCCTATACTTCCTCATCTCACTCCTCCTCGCCCCACCTCCCAATACGAATCCTCCTTCTCCTCCTGGTTGTATTCCTCCTCATCCTCTACCTCCTCGTCGCACTCCCCTTGTCTTGTTCCTCCTCCTGCGCCGTGCTCCACGTCCTCATCCACGTAATCCTCGTACTCCTCAACGTGTTTCCTCGTCTTCCTCCCATTGGCAGTGCTCCTTCTCCTCCTCGTCCTCCGCCTCCTCCTCATTAGCATCATCAGTAGCAGCATCAGCATCCGCATCAGCATCACCATGATAATCATGATCATCATGATCAGCATCATGTTCAGCATCATCATCATATCCTCATCCTCCTCATCATCATCATCAGCATCATCATCATCATCATCATCGTCGTCGCCATCGTCATCGCCATCGCCATCGCCATCGTCATCATCAGCAGCAACATCATCATCATCATCAGCAGCATCATCATCATCATCAGCATCATCATCAACATCATCATCAACAGCATCAGCATCATCCTCATAACACTTCTCCTCCTCGTCCATCCTCTTCTCCGTTTCCTCCGCCATACCAGGGACGCCTTCGCACTCTCGATTCCGCTTCCAACTTCCAGGAGGCATCCTCGCCAGGGATGCCCTCACACAAATAGCTGGGGCATGGCTCCGTCTCCCTCCTGCATTATTCCGCTGTCCCCCTCCCCTCCTCCTTAGGAAGGCACCAACTATACACCAACACCGATCCCGGCCAGGATCACCCTGGGCCCAGGATCGGTGTATACGCCCTCCTGCCCTGCGCAAGAAGGCATATGCACCGATCCTGGGCCCAGGGTGATCCTGGGCCAGGATCGGTGTTGGTGTATAGTTGGTGCCCTCCGACTCCTGCCCCTTATCCCGCACCCCTCCCTCCTCGCCGCGCCCTCGCTCGAGGCACCTCCACGACCTGCTCCCGCAGGCCTCCGCCCCGAGGAGCGCTCGGAACTTACCCCACGGGATCGCGCTCGCGCCCTGGGCGCCAGCTACTTGCCTCCTCCGTCGGGCCAGGGGCGCCAGGACCCCTCCTCCCAGGGCAGAATGCGACGAGAGGGGTGGAAAATCAAACGGTTCGTGTGGGTCTGGACCCCCCCCCCTCCCCCCTCCCTGCTCCCTGCTCCCCCTCGGAGCCCAAAGTTTCGAGGATGTCTCAAGCGAAATACGCCGGACCGCCTCGTGCGCAGCGCTCCAAGGACCATACTTCCGAGAACATCTCGGGCGAACATCTGATGTCAAAACTAAGCGAAAATGTCCCTGACCATACGCCGCGCACCGTCAACCCACAAATGTCCAACACATACGCTGGTGCAAGGCGGGTCGTGCTCAAAACCTGGCTGCTGCTTGGTAGTGGTCGTGATGTGTGCCTTTGATGCGTGGTATGTGAATCCGATACTTGTGCCTGCCATAGAGGCATGTCACGGGTATATGTGTTGGTGTCTGTGGTTCATGTCTGTTTGTGGTGCTTGTGGATGGTGTGTTCCTGGTGCTGGTGTACGTGCTGGATGTATATCACTGGTGCCTGCCGTTTGCGCAAGCTGCTGACGTGTGCCTTGAATGTCTGTCAGTGGTGCATGTTCTGGAGGTGTGTCCCAAATGCGTGCTCTGAGTAGTATGGCCATGCTCCCTGTCCTTGATCTTCCTTGATGTCTGTGGACGGCTTGACGTCGTGGCGCCTGGACAACGTGGCGTCTGCCTGGTGGGGCGTGGCGATCTCAGGGACACTCGGAGACTCTCTGGGCCCAGCGGCCGCGGTATGCTGGGCTGGCGAGGCGAGCGTTTCAGGACCCGTCAGAGACTCATTGGGCCTTGTTTTCTCGGTATGCAGGGCTGGCGGGCCGGCTTTCTCTCATAATCGAGCGCACCCGACCACTTGAGTGGGGGAACACGTTTCCTGTAGCACCAACCTCCGAGCGCAACCAAAGGATCCACCGGCAGAAAGAAAATTATCACACCAAGAGAGATGTGGGACGCTACAGCTGCCACCAGTCCGACGCCCCCGAATAAGGGCCAGGGCTTGCGGATGGTGGCTCCTCAAGGCCAAGAGAGTGGGGGAATATTTCAAAAACGCTTCGGTCCTCATCCGCCATGCCCGCCCCAGGCCCGTCCCACGGCGTTCCCCCGCCGTTGGGCCCCGTGCACAAAGGCCTGCCCGGCCAGCGCTGCGCGCCGGCCCGCTGGCCCGCCGCGGCGGCGGCGAGGAAGGCGTCTGGGCACCGCATGCTTTGAGGTTCGCGTGCCCTCTCCCCGCCGTGACTCTCCCTCTCTCTCTCTCTCTGTCTCCCTCTCTCTCTATCCCTCTCTTCCTCTCCCTCCCTCTCCCTCTCTCTCCTTGTCAATCTCCCTCTCTCCCTCTCTTTCCCAATGTGTGCCTCTCTGTCTCTCTCTCACGATCCCAGCTCGATCGCAAGGGAGAGAGAGAGGAGGGAAAGAGAGAGAGAGAGAACGAAAGAAAGAAAGAAAGACAGTGAAGCAACGAAACAAGCAAACAACAACTATGAACAGTATGTGTGAATCTGCAAATGCATACATACGAAACACACATTATCCCTCGCGGGCCAGGACTTTCTGCCAGTTCCATCCCGTGCTCCGCTGCCATGGGGACGTGCCAGGACTGCCGCTGCTCCCCAGACCCCTGGCAACGTGAGACAGGTCACGACTGAACACGTTTACCAACTTCGAAAGCACCATTAATAAACGACTGGGGAAGAAACACCGGTCCCCGGAAAGGGTTGAGACTTCTGGGCCAAATTTTGCGGAACAAACACGACTCGACGTCGGGGCTCCCCCAACACCCGTCGAAGATCAAGGTTCGAGGATCGTGACTTTCAAATGTATCTTTGCTCGACCTCGTTAATGACCCCCTTCCTCGCTAATCCTCCCCGTCCTGCTCTTCCCCCTCCCCAGTCCCCCTCCCCCTCTGGCCGCCGTCTTCATCATCAGTCCTCCTCCCCGCCATCCTTCTCCACACTCCGGCGATCCCGCCACAACCACTCGCGCAAACCAAGTGCGTGATATATGTGTTGGCGTTCGGCAATACATCATGTCGGACAGGGTGCCTCGATCACCGAAAGCCGTGGACATGTTCAATGACTCCCCCATCGAACCCAATAACTGCATCCCGTATCCTGTAGACATGCCCCCATCAAATTCCAATCCGTTCCTTCTCCTGGCCCAAAGTACCTTCGTCCTCGACGCCGTCCCTTAGCCTGAAACATGTCCCTATCCGCATGATCTGCATCACGTTTTCTCGACGCCGATCTCAAGGATTCCCTCCGTCTCTGAGGGCAAATTCCCAAATATTGTTATCGCTCTACTGTTGTCAATCTTTCGGATCGGGGCGAGCTCGAAGCTGGTAAACTCCATCTCCTTCCGTAGTCAATTTGTCTCTTTTGTTTTTTTGTTTGTTTTTTTTTATATATATATATATCTCTCTCTCTCTCGGGGAGAGAGAGGCCTCCCAGATGGGGTCGCAGTAGATGGGGTCGGAGGATCGCGCCGCATCGTCGATGCATCGGCGACGTCGGCGACGTATCAGCCACGTCGGCCCAGAATCGGGCTCGAACCGCATCGCCGATGCGGCGTGATCCTCCGATCCCATCTGCTCGGACCCCCTTTGGGAAACCTAGACTCTCTCTCTCCCTCTTGTGACCGCTTGTTCCTTTCCCTGGTAACGTCTATGGCGCCGCCTGCATACTTGGGCCAGCATGCGGGGCGCGGTGCAACCTGCATGGAGCAAGCCGCCGAAGCCTCTCTCGACGCGAGACGGGTCGAGGCGACGAGGCGGTGGATCCGGCGAGGCACCTTGGATCTCGTCGAGCTTCGGGTGCAGGCCAGGACTGAGCGCCAACGCAATCTGGAGGAGGAGCTGCCGAGGCAAACGCGACAGAGCGGCTTGGCTGGGCGACGTCGTGACCAACGAAAACTGGGAAGGCCTCAGACCGTCGAAGAAGAGGGGGCGCAGATCCCAAGGCAGGACCCAAAATCGAGACGGAGACCTTGTGGAAAACAACCAACGAGCCGAGACTTTGGCTACCTATTTCTCCGAGGTCCAGTGGTCGGAGCCTCCTGTTGGTCACCATCTGCAAAACGGGCGACGACCAAACAATCTGCTGCAACTTCCACTCGAGGAGTTTTCCGGAACAAAGCTGGAACAAGTATTGCGCAAACTGAAGTCGGGTACGGCCGCCAGGCCCGACGACATCCCTCCAGACTTTTGGAAGGTGTTGCGCAAGAGCGCAGAAGCATGCAACATCCTGCTAGGCCTCTTGAACATCTGTTGGCAAGGTGTCACAGGAGTGGCGGTACAGCCGAATCACCGCCATCTTCAAGAAAGGGGACGAGTCCATGCCGACGAATTTCCGACCAATTTCGTTGCTTCTTGTCGGATATAAAGTGTTGGCGTCTCTGCTCTTCAACAGGCTCGCAGACGGCGGCGTGGAGGACCGACTCAGACCCAGCTAATCTGGATGTCGGAGCAAGCACGGTACCAGGGACGCCGTCTGTATCCTGCACAGGTTGATCGAGAACACGTGGGCCTCCAAGGATGGCAAGGCATCTGCAGTGGTTGTGATTCTGGACTGGTCAAAAGCGTTCGACAAGGCTTAGGTGGACCACTCCGCTCTCGTTGGCCTGCTTTGGAATCCCAGACTCCTACATCGACATGATCAGCGCAATATACGACGGGAGGACCTTCGAAGCCAAAGACACGGATGGCCAAAACAGAATCCACGGCCAAGGATCGGGAATCGCACAGGGATGCACTCTATGTCCGTTCTATTGATAATCATGCTGAGCGTTCTGATGATCGACGTAAGAAAGGATGTGCTTGAGAAGTTCGGCGACCCCCCCGCGGGAACGCAGTGCGCCGACGTTGCGTATGCAGATGACACGGCCTTGCTCTCCAACGACATCCAGCGTTTACAATACTCTCTAGACCGGCGAATCATGCGAGCTCAAGTGTACGGCCTGGAGCCCCCCGTTGGGGGAAAACGGTGCACCTGCAGATCCGGCACACCAGCGACGCCTTCACGCCGCAAGGAGCGCCCGTGAAGATCGTGAGTTCGGCGGTGTACCTCGGAGGCCTCCTACGGGAAGATGAAGACACGGGAGCCTCGGTCGCTCGGAGGGTCGGGGAAGCACGCGGGGCATTCGAGTCTTGGAAGACCGTATGGAAGCACGCCAGCATCACGAGGCAGTGGAACCTGTATCTGTTCAGCGCACGCGTGGTGACTCAATTAACACACAGTCTGGAGGCACTGTGCTTGCGCCAGACGGACAGGGACAAGATCAACGCTTTCCAAGCGCATCGTCTGCGCAAAAGATCTGGCGTCCCGCATTCGATGATCTCCCGGGTCAGCAACGAGGCGGTGCGGAACATGTCGCGCCAGCGCAAGATAAGTTTACGTGTTCTGTATAATCAGCTGGTGTATGTTGACAATCTGGCATCGGCATCTGACACAACTTTACCACATTCATATGTATATCAGAAAAGAAACTCTGATGTTGCAGATTATGGCCGACGAGGGAGAGGCCGCCCGAGACTACAGTGGGCCAGAATCATGCAAGCGCAATCGCAAACGATTAAGCAGGTCCACAGACAATCAGCTATCAGCTCTCCATGACGAAGCATGGCGGAAGGCCGTGTACAAGTACGCATATCATTGACACCAAGGGCACTGCGGCAACGATTGCCTCGCAGACAAATTCTGAGGATCACTTTCTCTCCCCTCCCACTCCTCGCCCCTCCCCCTCCTGCCCCTCCCCCTCCTCCCCTCTGGCCGAGAACATGTCAGGTTACATACTGTCGTATGTGTCTTTTTCTTCCAGGCTGCTTCAGACCACGCCGCTGCGAGCCAGGCGACTGCCTTCTGCCGGCGGAAGTGCGTGCAGCAGCCGCGCACTGCAACCGATGTGCCGTCCCAGGCACGGTTCTGTCTGTCTGCCTGTCTGGTAACGGTCGTTACCCGGGGGAGGAGTGGATGTTCAGGCGGGAGGGAAACGGTAGCGGCGGCCGTGGCGTGCACCCGCCAGGGTGCGTCCGCGCCACAAGCGCATCCATCGCCTGTGTGCACCACAGCATGCAGGGGGGGGGTCCAGGCCACACCCATTCCTAGTGCGACTGTTAGCGTTACCCGAGGGGGGAGCAAAAAGCTCACCTTCCCTTTCCTCCTCCTCCTCCTCCTCCTCCTCCTCCTCCTCCTCCTCCTCCCTGCTCATAGTCCCCCCCCCTCTCCCGTGGGGCGACAAGGGGCGAATAGCTAAGGGGGGGGTTAGCAAAGAATCAGCTCACGCCATAGCTGGTTTCCCCGGCGAGGCTCCCGGCGCTGGAGGCGCCCATGAATCTGGTCAACCTCTGGAGTAAGGACGTGCGGTAAGGACGCAAGGGCCTTGGAGGGCCATGTCAGCGTGCTTCGAGCGAGGCTGGCCAGTGGAAGTCGCTGAGGCGGGACCGAAGGGGCAAGGACGCAGGGGTAGCCTTGGAAAGCCCCACTCATCCTTACAGAGCGAGCCTGTTGTGTGTCGAGGAAGGCGCCCTTGCGGCGCGGCCGACACCAGCTGCAGAGTGACCCAGGGCTCCCAACTTCGCGCTCTCGCGCTCCGCGAAGCGCGAAGCGCGAATAACTTCGCGCTCTCGCGCCGCCCCCCCAAAGGGACAAAAGGAGGACGAGGAGGAGGGGGAGGAGAAACGAGGACCGCGAAGCGCGAAGCGCGAATAACTTCGCGCCCTCGGGGGAGCCCTTGGTGACCATGAGCAAACCGTGTATCTGGAGCGCGGCTGGCCGACCGTTGCATGCAGTGCGACGGTAGCGGCGCGCGTGCTTGTGCTCGGCCGCGCCGCGCCCGCCGAACGCCACGCATCAGAGGCCACTCTTGCGCGGCGCCGACGCCCTTTCGTCCGACCAGACTCCTCCCTGGACGCCCGAATGGGGTGCACGGGTAAACGTACGATGCCTAAACGACATCGGCCGCTGTCCAACACCGACAACGGCCGCTGTTGGACAGGCGGCCTTCCGTCTCAAGTGGACAACGTCCGCAGCGACGCCGACAACGAACCCAATTCAAAGAGGACAGGGATTGACGTCGGTCTTCGACCCAGTCTTTCCGTGCGCATTTCGATTGTATCGATCTGGGGCGCAACAGGACATACTAATACAAGGTGTCCTCCTCGGAGGCGTGCGTCCGAACCGAACATATAATGTAAACATCTCATCGTATATCGTTCCCCGAGAGGTATGGCCGGAGAGCGCCCGTCACGGAGCATACAGTACGAGATTCCTTGGTGTGCGCGTCGCACTTTTGGGGCCGACGCACACCTAGTACATAATATGTTCGGGCGGCGCCGACGATCCCCGCCCCCCTCCCCTGCGCCTGCAGCCGCTTGAGGCGTGGCGGCCGGGGCACTGGGCGCGGACGGGGCCGGGCTGAGCATCGGCGGCGCCAGGACGGCCTTCGTGGGGCGGGGGACGAGGCGCGGCTGGAGGCTCCTCGGCACGACGTTTTCGCAAGCGCCAATCGCTTGACGCGGTTCCTGCGGCTTCGGCACGCGGCGGCCGAGACACCACGGAACGTCTGCCCACGATGCGGCTGGTCTCCTGCTGGCCGGCACTACCGTGGGCACGATGGGGGCCGCCTCTGCGACCTCCCTCGGCGCACCTGGCGAGCTCAAGCCTGATCTGGCACAAGGTGCAGAATTGGACTCGGCGCTAGTATGTGCTTGTCCACCGAAGCACTTCACTGCGACGCAGGCAGTGTTGCCAAGGCCGATACAAGCTGCGCGCTATCGGCGGAACCGAACAAGGCAAACACACATGAACGACGAAAAGACACGGTTTTTCCGCGAGATGGCATGGCAACCTTACGCGCTGGCTTACGCGGGCCGCCAATGCGGCACGCTACTTTAGAAACGAAATCGCGTACGGGCGACTTCGTACGCAGGTAAATTACGCGCCGATGTCTGCGAAGACGACCCCTTTTTCTTCCGACACTCTCGCCCTATATTCTATCGATGCCGACGCCGACGAGCTGGCCGCGCATGGCACCTGGACAAAGATGATGAGCGGAAACGGCTAGAGGCAACAATGACACCGTAGAGCGTCTGGAACGAATACTTTTGGCCCTTCGGACTTACAGCCGTCTTCGGCAACCTGGCTACCTGGAGAGACCTCGGGGGCCTCGGGCGGGCCATCGTGGTCTGAAAGCCAAAACGGAAGAGGACGCAGTGCAGCACAACGTCCCTGGCCACACCCATCACCTTCCTCACAGCACTATCGCGTAAACACTGCCCATGAAACGTGGGGGGGCAAACGTCGTGGGTGGTGCCACGCAGGCGAAAATTATCCCAGGGCCTAATCTTCACGCCGGCGAAAAAAGGTCACCCAAGTGCCGGCCAACATTATGCACCATTCCAGGGTCGCCAGTGATAGTGGTGAATATAAAAAAATATGTATGGCAGTGATGGTGGAGATGACGATGTTAATGGTGAGGACGGTCACGCGATCATGACGATGATCGTGTATGGTGGTTATCCAGGCAAACGGATGTGAACAAACGCGGGATACGTGCAATGAGCGAGCGCGGCTGCTGCATAATTGACGAACATCTGTCTGCTGCACATCCCAATCACCGCCAATTTTGCGAACGATATGTATTCATAGGGGCCAGCGAAAATTAAGCCACCATCTCGCGAGGGCCGGCGGAAAATATTCGGGGCCCAACGCCGGCGAAAATCACACTGGTGCTCAAACATGCGCGCTGTGAGTATTACACCACCAACCTTTAATACAGGACATAGAGGATGCTTCACAGGATGGGATGTCGTTTCCGGAGCAGACGGCGACCTTGTCTGGGCTTGAAGGGGGAACCAATGAACAATTCGGGAGGGTCGGGGTGGGCGTTTGAATTTGGAGTTACACAACCAAACTATGTCATCACAGAAACTGGAAGGATACCCAGCGGCCAGCGCGGACTGAAGGTTACCGTTCTGATCGCGGCCTTCGGCAATCTGGTGAGGCAATCCCGAAGAGGAACAACCACATTTACATGTGAACTGGCGAGTGGCGACGTCAGAAAGCTCGACATTGGCATGGAGCAGCCCAGTGCGCTTCCGAAAACGCGAGCCAGAAGCACAATGGTCAAAGGTAATATGCGAGTACTTCCTTAGAGCTGGACAAAAAGGGGATGGGACCAAAGCGTGGAAGAGGCAGGATTTTCGAGCAAGATCGGGATGCCAGCCCGAGCGACAGCCTCGAAAAGACGCTCGGCCCAGGCAGCCCGGGCGCTGCCGAGAGAGATCTGAACCCAATCATTAGGGCTGAGATCAAGGAGCCCGAAGATGTGTCTGGCATCGCGTACTGTCCCAGGCCATCCAGGACGAGTCCAAACTTTAGGTCCCTGGCAGCAGCGCCCCAACTGTACAAGCAAGAGTGACAATAACAGGATAACAAAGATAATTCCTAGGGTATGTATAGCATAGTTGTAGTTATTCCTATAATTACGATATGTAAACTCAATAACTCTGTTTGACGTAGAACTGCTTTTAATTCTTTACCTGAGTAAGGAAAACGAGACGTAGGGGCCCGTGTCTAGCGAGGGCCCGCATCTAGGAGACCGCGCACCAGGGTAAAAGGCGTCCTGCAGAGGCGAACCCATCAGCCCTCAACTCCAGGCCACGACGCCTACGCGGGCGGCAGCTCGGGCCACGCCTCGAGCGCCTGCCGCGCTCGGCCGTTGACAAGCTGGGGCGAGCAGACGCGCTTCGGCACCGCGCAGCTGGCCCCCTCACTCGCCCCAGGCCCAGAGCAGCTCGACCCGCCGCGCCCCCGCCGACGCGGAGGGGGCGTCGGCGATGCCGCCCCCGGCAAGGCCCACTCGATGGGCGCCCCACTGGCGGTCGCGGTGCTCGCGGGCCACACGCGCCAGAGCGCCCGCGAGCTGCTGCGCCATCCCCGGCTCGGCGTAACGCCTGACCGACGCGTCCTGTATCCAGCGCGCGCGCGTCTTCACCTCGGGCAAGGGGCGCCCTTCCGACAGCGCGTCGTCGCCGGCGCCCCCGTGCCTGAGCAGGCGCAGCTCTTGGCCGCGCAACTCGGGGCTCGCGCCGAGGTTGCGGAACGTGGCCATGACCTGGGCCGCCGCCGTCCCGAAGACGAAGTTGCCGGGCCGCCCGCCGCGGACGCGGGCCCCCCGCGCGGGCCCGAGCAAGGTCGGGGCGTCCAGGTCGATCGACTCGTCGGACGCGCCTGTCTCGGTGAGCGCCCGAGCCCTGGCCCCCGTCGCCGTCGGCGGCGAAGGGTCGTCGCGCGTCGGAGCCAGCAATGGCCCCCGGCGCCCCGAAGGACCATGCAGCGTCGCGCAGCGGCGGGATGAGCTCCTTCACCTGGAGATGTCACATCGTCCTGGGGCGCAGATGCGCGAAATGCTGCGCGACTATCTGCAGCGCCGCGCGGCGCCGGCCCCTGGCCACCACGCCCGCGGCCGATAAGGGCAGCGCCTCCCTCGCCGCCGTCGCCTCGCAGCCCCCTTCGCGCTTCGGGCAGTTGCTCTGCATCAGCGCGCCTGGCTTATCGAGCAGCTTGACCAGCAGCATCTCGATGTTGTCGGGCACGGGGTCGGGCGGGCAGAACTCGGAGAACGTGGCGAAGTGCTCCTCGCTCTTGGCCCTCGCGTCGGAGCTAACGGCAGCCTCCTCGCGCGCCCGTCCAGCACCTCGCGCAGCCGCCGCTCGGCGCGCGGAGCCCGCGAGAAAGCCGGCCGGCGCCGTGCCGGCGGCGCGGCGGCCGGGCAGCTGGCCTGGGCCGAGGGGCGCCCTCGGGCTGGTGCTGCGCCGCGGCCCGCGCCGGCGCGGCCCATGGCGTCGCTGGCGGCGCAGTCGAAGTGGCCTCGCCAGCCGCGCTCGGGGGCCCCAGCATGGATTTGCGAACGGGCTCGGTGTCCACGTTCGCAGAGACGCGACGCGATGGGGCGTCGGCAGCGATGACCTCCGCGGGAACCCAACGGGGCCTCGCCCCAATGTTCAAGCCAAGATGCAGCGTAGCGGATCAACGACATATCTGGAAGAGCCCACGGGGGGTAGCGCGGCCACGCTAGATCGAGCAGCACGCCCCGAAGTCGTCGACTCCTCGACGCCGTGGAAGTAAGGCACCCCGCGAAGACGGCGTGACAATCACGACGCAGTAACTCCTGGCCCACGCCTGGGAAACCCGAGTGCATCTCCCACATCGCATCTGACGCTCGAGTCTAGAGACGGATCCCCCCAGGCGGCGCGAGGGCATGGGATGTCGTCGAGGCCGTCAAGGGCGCGCCGACGCGGCGCCCGCTCGGCCATCGCTCGCGGAAGCGCCATCGCTCGCGCCAGCGGCCGGCCGCAGCGATCTCCGCCCCCTGGCCGCGCGCCTCCACGACCCCGAAGCCGGTGGTTGAGGCGTCGGCGGCGACGACGACGTCAGACCGTGGGCGCGGTGAGAGGTCGGTGCTCGTCAGCACGGAGATGCCTCCCATGACCCAACCCTCGCAGCGGCGCGACGGCCGCAGACGGCGTGGCCAGTCGTGCCTGCCCTTGACGAAGTTATAGATGGCTCTCAGGACGGCGAGAGCGGGGCGGCGCGCCAAGCGCGCCGCCGCGATGTGACCCGCGATGACCTCAACCTGGCGCTCGCTCACCACCGGGCCCTCGGCCAGCCAAATCAGCGCTCGGCGCGGCGAGGCGAGCTTGGCCCCAGTGCGCTGAGCCACGGGTGGGCAGCCGCTCACGTCGGTGCCGCCCAACGCCGTCGCGGCCGCGGAGACGTCGGAGATCTTGTGGATCTCGAAACCTTTCGCCTCGAACTGGCCGAGGACAGCGCTCGTCATCCTGCCGACCTCGACGCCGTTGAAAGCTAACATGTTGACGTTGTTCGAGCGCGGCTGGTCAGCGGCCCCGGGCTCCAGCAGGGGCATCGGCCAGTTCCCCGCCGCGGTGCGGGGCGGCGGCGCGCCCGCCCGTCTCGCCATCTCCAGGTGCACGCGCTGGACGAACCAGAAGTCCCAGACCCGCCCCATCGGCCGCGCCGCGAGCGCAGGGCAGACCTTCGACGACTCCGCGATGCAAGATTCGCCTGAGAAGTGGGCCCTGCCCAAGGCGGCCGCCTCTACGCCCGCGAACTTGGGCAAGCCGAAGAGCTGGCTGAGGTCGCCGAGGCCGCCGCGCCGGTAGAGACAGCGCTCCGCGTCCGCGCTCGCGATGTAGAGGGCGCCCTCGGCCTTGGCGCGCGTGGGCAAGGGGCTCGGCCGTCGCGATTTCGGCGCACGAAGCGCGCTGAAAGCGCTTGTGGACCAGCCGGCAGTCCAATGCCGTACGCAGACCCCCGCTCTCCTCACCGACAAAGAAGGGGGCCGCCGTCTCAAGCACCGACGAGAGAGGCACCATGATGACGACGTCTTGCAAGCACCTCAGAAAGGCCGCGCAGGCGGCCCGGGCGGAGCGCGGCGCGTCATCGAAGAGAGGTCGCCCAGGACCGTCGGCCCAACGGTAGAAGTGAACGTCTTCGTCCGACATCTGGGACGCGTCGTAGTCAGCCAGGCACCAAGCAGCATCACTATCCAAAACCGAGGAGAAGACGACCGCCCTGGAGGAAGCAAAGAAAGAAGAGCTGGAACGTGCGGCCGCGCAAGAAAATCTGCGCCAAAGTAGTCGGAGACGTTGCCCGAAGCCGACGCGCAACTTCACGGGGCGGCCCGGAGAGCCGTGAACTTATATCGTGCCGAGACTCCCGCGACGCGCGGACGACCCCCCGCCGCGCGGCATCCTGCGCCAGGGTACACCGCGCCCTCATGCTCGCGCTCGCACCTGTAGAGCGCGCCCAGGGCACCGATGCAGTAGCTGGCGTCCGTCGCGGCAGCCTCGCGGAAGCATCTGCGGCACTGTCCAGATCTGGGCATCCACCCCTACGGGCGGCAAGGGCAAGAGCGCAGCTTCGCCCCGACAAGTTCGCGGGGCATCGGGCCAGCCAGCGGCGCCCTGGGGAGGGCGGCCCGCGCCGAGCATCGGCGCCTGGCGCCTGGGCGCGTGCGAGGCGGCTGCGCCGGGAGGGGCGGGGGCCCCACCGCCTCGGCCCGCGTGGATCAGACCTTGTCCTTGGCCCTCTTGGGGGCAGCATTGGCCTTCGCCTCCTTGGACTCGCGGCGCTCCCTGTCGACTCGACGGCCGCCTCGCGGCAGGACTCCGACGCCACGTCCCCGGAGGGTGGTGGGCCCCCATCGATGTCCGCCCTCTCTGGGCCCTCGACGTGAGCCTCCACCAGCGGCTGGCGGCGGCGGTTCACGCACTCCATGGCGGCGAGGTGGGCGACGTTGAGCCGTTGAGCCCGTCGGCGCCGACGGCCAGCTCGAGCGCCTTCAAGATCACGCGATGCTCGTGCGCCGAGCGCGAGCCAGGGCTGAC